TGGAATAGAACTTACATTGACATTTCAATTCATGAAAAAATGAGAAGGATTACTGACAAAAACATTTGTTTGAATGGTTTTGGTTAAACTGTTGCTTGAACATTATAATTACTGAGATTTGATGAGACAGACAACATGGATCATCAGTGATCTCACTCCAAGTAAAGGTCTTGCTGCCATTAAAGGCAGTTGATTCTTTTTTCCATTTATTCTGATGCAAACACCAATACTGTGCATGAGAAAACACCTGCCATGTCAATATAAGTTTAAATTATCAAACTTTATGGACTACATTCATGAAGCACATTACATGAGCTATTTTGCTTGGGGAGATATAATTTTTATAAGTGATACTGCTCTATTGAAATGCTATACTGCATTTCTCAGCAGGCTTCATTGACTAATAATTCATTTAGAAGCACAAGTCATTATTTTCATGTTCAGTTTCAAAAAGTCTTTTGCACTGGCTTGAACTATCTTCCCAGAGCAAATAGGACCATTTCAAAAAGGCCAAACCAGAGGGTACATTCTAGAGAGCACTGAGAATATCCATTGGAACATTCCTTGTTCTAATTCTGTGAGGACCTTCCTCAGTCCTTTCATGGAAACTGAGCACTCTTCAAAGCTCAGCTGAAACCACTTTCCTCTATTTGTTTCCTTTTGTATTTAGGATCTTTGTAAAGAGGGCTATAAGTAGCCAGGCAGAGAGAAGCAAGATGAATTAGCTAGACTGATGGCATCAGAAACGGGAAGATGTGAACCACTCAATTGTATGGATCAAGATATTTTGGCCATCATTAATAAAATTTCTTTTATCTGTCAGCTGAATGGTCTCCCTCTGCATTTTAAATCTCTGAAAATTACTCCACCATTATGGTAACTTACCAATACTCGTGATATGAAATTTTTCAAGTTAATGGTCACCTGAAATTAAATTTCAACTTTAAAACCAAAGATATCTTCTATCAATGTCAAATTCTATGGTATATAGTCCAGAAAATCTTGACAAAGTCTCTATTTACTATCAGGACCTGATCTGAAGCCTCAGTATCTTTATTTAGTTTACAAAGATTCATTTTCTTAAATTTAACTTGTATCAAATCTTACAAGTACATGAGACTGATAATGAAACTTTCCTTTTTGTTTTTCTGATCATTTTTTTTGAAATGCAAAAGTTTTTAAATGTGATGTAATCCCACTTGTTTGTTTTGCTTTTGTTTCCTTGCTGTTGGTGTATTCAAATGCATCTTTGTGATAAATGTTCCATAATGTGCCCCCCCATATTTTCTTTCTTTCAAGTTTTTTTTTAAGATTTATTTATTTATTCATACAGAACTGGGGTACAGGCCAGAGATGTGGAGGGTGAGAGGATTCACCAGAGACAGAGCGGGGAGCAGAACAGGCAGATGTACTGAAATACACTGCTGAAGGGAGCATCTGACGGGTCAGGAGAGGTCGCCACGCCATGTGGTCACCTCCGGGGCAGGGGGGGATGGAACTCATGCGAAAGCGGCTTTAGATTTAAAGCTGTGCTTTAACCCGCTGCGCTACCAGGGAAGGCCTCTTTCAAGTATTTTATGGTTTCCATTCTTATGTCCAAATCTTTAATCCATTTTGATTTAACTTCTATCTTTTTTATGTATCAAGTTAAAAATGGGTCTTGTTTTTTTTGTTTTTTTGTAAATGTCTATCCATATTTCCTGTCACCATTTGTTACAGTCTTTTTGACCATAACTTTTTTTGTTGAAGTTTACACAAAACTCTTTTTTTGTCTGTTCTATTTCCTTTAAAAAAATGTGTAATTTCCACAGGTGTTGCAGTAAATCTGTAAATTGTTTTGGCTAATATGGCCATCTTAATAATATTAATTCTTCCAACCCATGAACACAGGGTATCTTTCCATTTCTTTGTGTCTTCTTTCATTTCCTTTAACACAGGTTTTAGTTTGAAGGGCACAGATCCGTTACCTTTTTCATTAAGTATATTCCCAGGCATTTCATTATTTTTGGTGTGACTGTACATGAAACTTATTTCTACATTTTTATTTCTTTCTACTGACACATTGTTTGAATATATAAATGCCAACTTACATATTGGCATTTTTTTGTGCCCTGATTTTGCATACTATCACTTTACTATATTCATTTATTACTTTTAGAGATTTTTTTCTTTTTTTTCTTTTAAGACTATCAATATGTTAATATGTCATCTGCAAATAGTGGGTTTCACTTCTTTTCCAATTTGGATTAATTGTATGACTTTTTCTTGCCTAATTACTTCAGCTAGGCTTTCCAAACTATATTGAATACCAGTGGTAACAGTGGGCACACTTGTCTTATTCCTGATCTTCAAGGAAACGTTTTTCAACATTGAATCTGATGTTAGCTGTGGGTTTGTCATGTAAAGTTCTTATAATATATAGAGTGGTTCCATTCATTACCATTTTTGTACAGCTTTTGTCATAAGCGGATGTTGAATCGTGTTGAATGCTTTCTCAGCACTTATTGAGATAATTATGTGGAGTTTGCCTTCATTTCTGAAGACATAAATAGTGACATTAATTTGTCTGTGTATGTTCAACCAGCCTTGTATCTCTGACATGAGGTCTACTTTATCGTGGTGGATATGGACAATTCTCAATATAGGTAAATCCTTATAGCTAAATTCATTTTGCTAGGGTTTTGTTGAGAATTTTTACATCTATATTCACCTCAGATATTGGCTTATACACATATTTTAATACTATCTTTGTTTGGTTTTGGGATCAAGGTAATGTTTGCCTCATTGAAGGTGTTGGGTAGTTTTCCTCCAGAAAAGAAAGGGGACTTTTGTGTGACTGTGACAATTAAATCATAGTTTTTATTGGAATAATGAGTTCTTGAAAGCTATTTATGCTGTTATATAAGTAAATACTCTGTGAGAAGAAAAGTTAATTGCTTAATACCAAGTATGTCAGGAAATTTGAGAGAAAAGTTAGTCAGATCTTTGATTTAAAACACAGAGTTGAAAGACTCCTCCTTCCCATGTTTTCACAATGTTCATCCAGAAAAAAGAAAAGTAAAAATTTAGTAGTCACCTGCTTAATAACATAGCTAAAATGACAATGGTAGGTGTAGGAACCTGCCCTACACTGGGAATATTGAAATCTTAAAGTCACATGTCAGCCTAATAATTTTAGCCTCTAATTCTTCATTTGTAACAAAAAAGGAATTTTGTACTATAACTAATCCCACAATCTACAAGAGTCTAAGCATATAAAAAATAAACTACCTGAAACACTTATCATTAACAAATTAAATTATTGTTGATATCATTTAGAAAAGCTGAAAATTGGGTTGACTTTCAGAATTAGATACTCTATGCTAGCTACTTTTACTATTTCAGCACTCACTAAAACTTGTTTATTTGGTAATTTCTAGAGTGCTTTGAAAATAAATTTGACAAAGTCATAAATGATATTTATTTTTATACCTTAAAATATAACTTCTGGCCCTCCCTGGTGGTGCAGCGGGTTAAAGCACAGCACTGAAAAGCCAAAGCCACTTCCGCATGAGTTCGATTCCTGCCTGCCCCGGAGGTGACCACATGGCGTGGCAGACCTCTCCTGACCCGCCCGCTGCTCCCCTCAGCAGTGTACTTCGTTGATCTGCCTGTTCTGCTCCCAACTCTGTTTCTGGTAAATCCTCTCACCCTCCACATCTCTGGCCTGTACCCTAGTTCTGTATGAATAAATAAATAAATCTTTAAAAAATATATATATATAACTTCTATTGTTTAGAAACTTAAGTTAGAATCTTTCAAGAGCTACAACAGCTCTAGTTATATGTGCTTTTAAAGTAAATTGTTATTTGAGTCACCGACAACTTATTTTCTATAATCCTGTGGTCTTGCATAATTGCCATGGCTTTCAAAACAGTGTAATTTAAACCAGTGATAACTGTTATATTTGTTTCATTTAGTAGTTCTATGTTAGTATATGCTTGTTAAAACTATATGCTGTATTATTAATATAACAACTACATTCTATTTGTAATGTAAGTTTCATCTTAGTTTTTAAAGGTAAAATAACTACAATGTTTCTTAATGGCAATACTGAATAATTTCCTCCCATCAAACCATCAGAATAAGCTCTTGTCGAAATGCTTCAAAACTAAAGTACTTCTAGGAAACTAGGCACTTCACCTAGAATCCCACACATGTTCAAATAAAATTGATAAAACACTTTTAATCCATTCGGGATATGGCAGATTCTGAGAATTTAAATATACACAAGCATAATGGGCTATGTTAGACTTAAAAATAGGACTTTTACAAAAAATATGTAACAATTGAATGTACAACATTCTATGGTCACAAATATTATTATTACTTTTAGTATTTGGAAAGGAATTCAAAAGTATGATTATTGTCAAATATTTGAGATACCTTATGACAAATTTCCTCAGGAATATACCTCTAAAATATTTCTTCTTTCCATACTCTCTTTCATTGTAGCTTAAGATTTCTTTTTCCCTTCTCAAATTAACATATGTACAGGTACTAATGAGCACTTATTCTCAATGATTCAATTTTGCTATATTTTACAATATAAGTAAGACATAAAGATATAGAACCTTACTACATTTCCTCCAAGGATAGTAAGCTGTACTTCAGTGTTGTTTTTTAACAACTTGGAAAATACAGGCTGTTTTAAATGTGGGAATGAACTTTTTATCAATAGCAAATTCCATTTAATAAAGAGAAGCTATACAATTAATGCATGTACATGTAACAAAAAAAAAGAGAGTGAGAGAGAGAGAGAGAGAGAGAGAGATGCATTTAATTGATGAAATGAACTAATCCAAAATCTATATGAATTGCTGTAGGCTTTGGAACTGAGATTATAAATTTGTATTCATAGTCAACTAAGGAGTGATTAACATTTAAGTACAAAGGTTATTTAACATTTAAATACGAAGATTTCTCCATGAGTTACTTTGGATTTATAGGATCTCTCTTACCAACAGCTGTTTTGAAGCTCTGTTTTATAAAAGATGAGATGTTCAAGCACCTTACTTAACTGAGTGCTGTTCTTCTGAACACAAGACCAGGCAGCCACACAGTGCCAGAGAAGATGGCTAACTTCATATCTCCTCTGATTAAACTGTAACTGCTCCTGGAATTAAAATTTAAAAAATATCTGAAGAAGAATCCTTTAACCTGAATATGAAAATTAATTTTAAATATACAAATGATATTTGTATTTTCTTATCATTAGTTTTTTACCAGGTGTTATGATTTATTCAAGTATATATTTGTAAGTATGCATAGCTAGCCTGAGCTTAATGGCTTAATAGTTTCACATGGGAAGGACACTTGTGCTCTTTCTCACTTTTACAGTAAGAAAAAATACTATTTCTTCTAAGGGACAATAATCTCACACAGTTGTGCCTCATTTTTTTTATTTACTTACCATATATAATTATTAAGTAAATAATTAAAGCCATAAAGAAAAACCATGGTATACCTATGATATAGACAAGAAATAAAACTACTGAACATACCAAGTATGAGAGGAAAAGTTTATAACCCACACTGTATGTGCTTCTACTGGTTATGAAAAATGAGACATCACTCTATAAAACAATTTGCTAATTTCTAAGGAAGTTACACATGTGGTGCATTGTGATGGAACCATTTCATTCATGAGTATTCACTATTTATTGAGATTTGTTATTATTATTGAGGTAACAGCTGTGTTTTTTAAAGTGTACATGACTTAATTTTCTCTGATATACAACAAAAGGACAGGGCAAAATAGTAACAAGGAACAAACAAACTTGGTTTTCCTGATTAAGGGTAAAATGATTTGCCTTCCTGGACATAAGCAACGTGTGCTAACTACTTCAATAGCCTAAACATTCAGATAAGAAATTGCTGTTATTTGTTTTTCTTAGAGTGCTTCCTAATAGTTTCATAGATTAAGTGGTCTACAAGAATAACTGGTATAAACAATACTGATTTTATTGTTATACAATGATAGCATAATATTATGATTGAATTTTTCATCAACAGTACAAATTCAAACAAACATATTGAGATATGTACTCAAATAACAAACATGGCTGATATTTTATTTATATGCTGAAAAGAGACATTTAAGGAAATTCCAAAGGACTTCATAATTCTCATCAATTATATAAACACTAACTATAAAATTTAAAAATAATTTTCATGTTGAGTATTCTAAAGGGAGTGTACCAGAGGTTCACACACACTAAGACATTTTAAGCTCTGGTAAAGTGTTAAGTCACACAGATGTGTACTGATCTACTTTATGTCAGGAACGCAAACAATGGAGATAGAGGTTTGAGTAAGTCTACACAGGATAACTGACTCTGGGGAATAATTATTTAGAAAAGCAAGTGGAAATGCTGTTTAGGATGATAAAAAAGCTTTTTTCTCAAATTATGAAAGACATCATTTTGAGTCCTACTGATCAATATATGCACATATTTTATGCAAACAATGTAATTTTCTGCTCTATGAGTCAGTCTACTCCAAAAGTAAAAGCCATATGAAGGAAATCCCTTTTCAAATTGCTTTAGATAGTTCAGCATGGATGCCTGTCAGCTCTCCAGCTTTTCTGTTGAAAATTTATTTTGAATAAATATATACGTAAATAAGTTTTGAAGTTTGTGAGTGACCTGACTAATTTAAGTTTTTATTGTTTGTTTGTTTGTTTTTTAACCATATATGTTACATGACTACATAGATTATTCAGTTAGGTCAAAAAGCCTTGTTAACAAATTTATACACCATAATTAGACAATGAACATGAAAATATCAACTTCATGTCCAGAGTGTAATTGGCATAAATATTTTCACAAGCTAATCTGACCCTTGAAATCAGAGCATTTTGTTCTGTGATATATAAACTCACATAAAATCTACTTCAGACAATATTACATGAAAATAAACAAGGCCGGGGCCTCCCTGGTGGCAAAGGGGTTAAGTCTCAGCACTCTCATGCTGTCACTGCTGTGGTCTGAGTTCGATCCTTGGTTAGTGAGTTGTCCCAAAGGCACCGCTCCTGTCTCCTTAGTAGTGTATTTTAGTAGACCTGCCTGTTCTTCTCCCACTCCCCCATCCCCTCGCACCTCTGGCTTATACCACAGCTCTTCTATGCATAAATAAATACATATTTTT